GCCGGCGCACCACGCTGATCCAATGGCAGGAGCCAGGTACTTCTCCTGGTCTCCCATGGGGTGCAGGGCCCAAGGACTTGGGCCATCCTCCACTGCCTTCCCGGGCCACAGCAGAGAGCTGGCCTGGAAGAGGGGCAACTGGGACAGAATCCGGCGCCCCGACCGGGACTAGAACCTGGTGTGCCAGTGCCGCTAGGCGAGCTGCTAGGTTTTGAAAGCAAAAGTATTCAAGGTAGTTGTAATTAAGTTAGGAGTCATGTGACAAATTCTCACTGCAATGAGTGATTTTTAAGCACCTGTTACACAAAGTTCTGATGTCCCAGGCTCTAACATGGTGCCTAGCACAGAACTGCGTACTTGAAAATATTTGTTGAATGACTGTCTCTACAACTTCCCAGGGAGAGTGATGTTCCGATTTTCCAGGAGTGGAGACCTGAATTTCTAGGGGGTTGCTCTTCCTTAGGTCTCACAGGTGTAAGTAGTGCCAGGTCTGCCTCATTCCAGACAGCTCTCCACTACTCCTTATGGAGAGTCCCACCCAGTGCTCATCCTCCTGTTCCTCAAACAAGGAAGGGTAGCTTTTTGCTGGAGATGCAAATTTCTTGTCAAAAGGCTCCCAGCCTCATTCAAGAAGGATCGAAAATAAGCAATAAATAAAGAAGTGTTGACAGGAAAGGTAACAAGAATCTGGAAAATGTTAGATTCAGTGTCATCCTGTTTGACGGTCCTAGAATTATCCTCGACTATTCTAATTTTCTTCCCTGCGCATGAGTTAGGATTGCATTTCCTTGTCCGCTCTGTAGCTGTGGCTTGTTTTGTCCAGTGCAATCTGACATTGGGTCAGATGTAAGCCCTGTAACTTCTGGGCAGAGGTTCCAGGAGCCACTGTGAGATGCAGCCTCTTCTCGTTACACTGTCATCTCACCAATGTTAAGTCAAGGTGGAACTTTGATCTGCCTGGACCCAGTGACTCAGTGACTCTGCCCTGAGCACTGCGAACTCTGGCTGGACAAGAAGGCCGTACGTGAAAGAATCTTCTGGTTGTGTTAAGACCCTGAGATTTTGGAACTGGTGTCGCTGCCGCCCATCTAGTTCATTGTGATTAACCGAGTGAATGGAGGAATAATAACAGGACAATGACAATTCGACAAGGATCTCCAGTGGAGAAAATTGAAAATAGCTCTTGAAAGCTTCTTTAGTAGACTGTCTTGCATGTCTAAAATATTAAAAACGGAATATCAAAAGAATAGCTTGATTCATACAGATGTGGAGATCCAAGCAACATTAAATTCCCGAGACGGTCAGGTGCCCTCACTCTATATTGTAAATTTTTTTCTTCTGTATTTAAAACTGTAGTCTACCAAGAAATGTTTGTTCATTGTCCTTGTGCTCAAGAAAACGGTTTGACATGAAAGGAAGGAGGACGAAATTTCTGGCTGAGATACCAGAGGACACAATGGACAGTGACACCTTTATCCAAGCAGTGCCTGAAAACAATAACACAGTTTTCCTTAAATTTCTGTTGCAAGAAGAGTGTGTATTCAGGATAGAGCTTCTGTTACATTTCGTGTCTGGTTTCTAGCCTGTACATGCTGACATTACCCGGCTCTAAATTATGCTCTGCGCTGCTCGCATTGCAGTGGAAGATGCCCCAAGTGCTTGGGCCCCTGCACCTGTGTGGGAAACCTGGAGGAGGCTTCTGGCTCCCGGCTTCAGATTGGCCCAGCTCTGGCCATTGTGGCCATTTAGGGAGTGAACAATGGATGGGAGACCTTTCTCTCTGTCTCTCCCTCTTTGTAGTTCTGCCTCTCAAATAAATTAAAAAAAAAAAAAGTTGCTCTTACAATGGATGTGATGTTGGAAGAATATGTTTATTCTCCATGACTCGCTCTGACTTACATCTCTCGCTCTATGGAGGATCAGGTCTGTTGTTAATGAACAAGCCACAGTTTTAGAAACAGCTCTCTTGCAGCTTAGATTTCTCCAGAGTTGGAGTAAGTGACAATAGGACTTGATGAGTTTACTAGATTTGGGAAATTTAATGAGTAAAATAAGTTGATTGTTGCCATGAACCTATACTGCCTAGTTTAGTCTTAGTCTCAGCATCATATTTTACTTGTTATACTACCACTTGAAGATTTCTGTGACTTAAGCTTCATGGTAGAAAAAAAGGCATTGTCTTTTAAACTAGGCTCAAAAAGCTGGCATACACAGAACATATAGCACTAATAATTGCCAGCCTTTCAGGCTTCTAATGTATGGATAGCAATTTTGCAATATTTTGGTGTTTTATTATTTAACATGTGTCATGTTTTTTTTTAATATTATTTCTAAGAATTTAGAATTAATAGGCTTTAGAAATGGAATGGTCCAGAACTTTCTTCTTATTTCCTGGTATAGGAAGTCTCTCTTGCAAAAACAGTCTTACCTATGACACCTTTCTCTTGGCTGGCTGTGCATTTCAGGGGAGTGGAGTGCCAAACAGTCTTACCTGGTGTCTAATAACATAAAACAAACTTTTTAAAGGCTTGCTGGTATAGTATGAAATTTTATAATTTCAAATGATGAGGTTCATTAGCAAAGCAAGACAGATACTTTTGAATAAGGAGGACTTTATTTCAAAGGGACTTGGCCTCCACTTTGCATTTTTTTAATTTGTCAAGCATTTGAAAACCCTGGATTATATAAGTAGCCACAAGAAGTAACAGTTTATATTGGTTTATTTTACAAGACTCACCCTTGATTCTTGGGAGACTTCAGTTTTATAGATAGCTTTATTTCCAGAACCACAGGGAAGTTAATTTTGCAGCACAAATCGGCAAAGTAATTCCCTTTATTGCATTAAAATTTGGTATGTAAATTGTTGCTCCTGAGTGTTGCTTTTTATCCTAGCTCTAAGGTATTATTTAAAGAAAATCAAGTCCTGTGTTTATAGAATCCCAGAAGACAGCAGAGAATTCCATTGAAAACTACTCATCATGCTTTATGTGACATTCTCTCTAGCAGTGGGAGTGTAGGTTTTGATTGAACTATTTATTTATTTAGGAGAAATTGTCAAATGTGAAAGCATTCCTCATTATAAAGGATTACATTAGTGTGAATAAAACCTCATTAAACATGTGTATTCTGAAAGTTTCAGAAATTTTTCATTTATTTTTAAAATTTTTAAGTTATTTTTATTCATTTGAAATTATTTTTATTTATTTGAGAGAAAAAGAGAGATCTTCCACCTGCTGGTTCACTCCCCAAATGGCCACAACAGCCCAGGCTGTGCTGGGCCGAACAAAGTCAGGAGGCAGGAGCCTCTTCCAGATCTCCCATGTGGGTGCAGGGGCTCAAGCACTGTGGGCCAATGTCCGCTGCTTACCCCAGGTACATCAGTGGGAGATGGTTGGGAAATGGAGCAACCAGGACTCAAACCGGCGCCCCTATGGGATGCAGCACTGCAGGTGGTGGCTTAAACCACTACGCCACAACACTAGACCCCAGAAATGTTTCTACAAATTCCAATTTAATCAACATTAGTTTTAACTGCCAGCCCCAGCAACTAATTATGTAACCCATAAGTACCTGAAGTACTTATAAGTAGTGCTGTTTAGCTATCTTATGGTTACAAGTGAATTTTTTTTTTAATTATTTATTTGAAAGGCAGACAGAGAGAAAGAGAGAGATGGAGAAAGAGATCTTCCATCCACTGGTTCACTTCCCAAATGTCTTCAGTGACCAGGGCTGGGGTAGGCCCAAGTCAGAAGCCTGGAACTCTGTGTTGGGTGGCAGGGGCCCAAGCACGTGGGCCACCTTCTGCTGCCTTCTCAGGCACATTAGCAGGGAGCTGGATCAGAAGTGCAGCAGTTGGGACATGAACTGATGGTCCTATGGGATGCTGACACTGCAGGTGCTGCTTAACCCACTGCATCGCAGTGGTCAGACCCAAACCTGGCATTCTAATAAAGCCCCATGACTGCTTTCGTGGGACTTTGTGAAATCTGACTTATGTTTCTAAACTGGAAACTTTCTCCACTCCCACTGTGAGAGAGCAAAGGAGAATGAGGATTTTTTTTTTTTTAAATTCCCTGGCTTATTTAAAATTAGTCTCCTATTTTCATCTCCCAGCCCTGACCTCCGGCCCTCCCGGTAGGCAGCAGCTCCAAGGCTGCCTTCGTGGAGTTCTGAGAGCCTTCATATGTGTGCTTCTCTGAGCTGTGCCTCCAGGAAACTTTCTCTAAACCAAACACGCTCTGTGCTCCTTTAGAAAGCTGGGTATTTCAAGAACCCCCATGATGATGCCTTTTTATGAGACAAATGCTCCCTTAATCTGCCAGTCTGAGAACCCGGGAGAGCTCCCGGTGCTTTAGAAAATCATTAGCCTGTTTCTTCCTGTGCTGGTCCCTGCTGATGAATTGTCTGTGCGGTGCCCTCATCACCTTCCACTCAGGCTGGTACCCAGCTCTGTGTTCAATTCCACACAGCAGGCACAGGCTGTTTGGCAACACAGTTAAAGGGAGAACTTACAATAGGATGAGCCTGTTATCCTCCATGGCTTCCTGGGGCACTTGCATATGGTGACGCCAGGAAACAAGCCCAGGGCAAGAGCTGCTTATATTATTATTAATAATATTATTTTAATGTAGAATAACATAATTGTTTTGTGTCAAAAATTATAGTGTAGAAATTCAGGCCCTGAGTTAAGTTGTGAATCCACTGCATACTTGCACTACACTGCAAAGCAAATAAATTAATTACTCTGAACTTCAATTTCCTGTAAGTAGGGTCAATGATAAAATCTACCACCTAGGGTTGCAGTGAGCTGGGGGGAGAACCCATTTAAAGTGTGTTCACATGGCTACAGTGTGAATTCGTTGCTTTAATCATGCTTGGTGGTTTTTATCATTATTTTCAACATGGCTATTTTGAAATGTTACTATGCCTAGGTTAAGGTAACTAGAGAGGAGCCAGCACACTGTGGTTTTTAATGCCCTTCCTCGCCTGTGCCCTTGCAGAATGTGATAAACTGAGGCGCGATGGTTACCGAAGTTCTCAGTACTACTCTCAGGGACCCACCTTTGCAGCCAACTCCAGCCCGGGAGGCGAGGATGACCAGGATGACGATGCTGAAACAGATCACAAGGTACGGCCTTCGAGTCCCCCGCGCGGTCCCGCTGAAATCAGAGTGCGGGCTGTATTTCAGCCAACAGCACTGGCCCGTGTTCCTTGTCCTGACTTTGACACGTGTACCATTATGATGTAAGATGTCAGGATAACGGGGAACTGAGGAAAGGGTACACAAGGCATCTCAGTACTGTGTTTGCAACTTTTCTGTAAATATAAAATTGTCCTAACAAAAAGGGTTAGAATACAAGGAATTCATTAAAGGAATCTAAATTCCATCTATGAGTATTTGTGCATTTCGAATATTGTCTTTGAATTAGGAAAAATAAAGATCTCATTTCTGTTGCTTTTTTAAAAAGATTTTATGTATGTATGTATGTATATATGTACGTATGCATGTACTTAAAAGGTGGGGAGATACAGAGAGAGCTTTCATCCGCTGGTTTACTCCCCATATGGTCGTGATGGTCAGGGTTGGTCCAGGTCAGGTCAAAGCCAGGAGCCTGAAACTTCATCTGGGTAGCCTGTGTGGGCAGCAGGGGTCTAAGCACTGGGACAGTCTTCTGTTGCCTTCCCAGGTGCCTTAGCAGGGAACTGGATTGGAAGTGGAGCAGCTGAGTCTTGAACCATTGCTCATACAGGGATGCTGGCATTTCAGGCAGCTTAACCCTCTGCACCACAAAGCCAGCTCTGCTTCTTTTTTTGTGAGACCAAGAGCCCCAGGAAGAGCCCTGAGTTTAAGAGCAAAAGCTCAAGTGGTCAGTGTTTGGAATGTGCATCAGACATATGCAGGGCGTGTTCTCTGCCACTGCCCTGTGATGCTGCTGGCTTCCTGTTTCTCATCCTGTCTCCCATGATGGGCTCCAGCTACTGAAGGGAGGTGTAGCTTCTTCATACCAAATGCATATGAAAGAATAAAAATATGTGGAGAAATTGTTTATATAGCTTTATTTTCCTTTTATTAAGTAATATGGATCAACACTGGACTTACTGAAACAAAAGACGTTTTGATGAAGAGGGTTTGGTTTCAAAACCCTTTTTAATTAATCTTAAAAAAACTTTTAGTGGAAATTAGCTCAATGTATAAATGCCTTTTTGATTGAGGAACATTGTTCAAAATTTATCAGTTTGTCAAGTAGAACCAAATTGGATAACAATTTTCAAAAAATAAGAAATTGTTGCCTTATATTTTTCATTTTCAAGTGAATATTGAATCCAGATTATTATTAATTTCAGATTCTCACTTGAATACTCTTTTTAACTAATACAAATCATAATTGTATACATTTACGGGGTGCATTGTGGTGTTTTGATATGTGTATATAATGAGAATGATTCAATCAAGCTAATTAACCCATCCCTCGCCTCACTTACCTATCATTTTATAAGGTAAGACATATGAAATTTAACTCCCTGCATATCTTGAAACGTGGTGCTATCATTATTCTTGACCACATTCTCCCTGCTGTGCAACAAATCTCAAAGCTTGCTGCTTCCTCTCTTGGTGGAAGTTTGTTCCTTATGATCAGCAGCTCCCCGGTCCTCCCATCTCACCTCGAGTTTTATTACAGGGCATCTTTCTCATTTCTTTAATGGTTCGTTCACATATTACATTAGTCCTTTAGGACTCTAGAATTATACAAAGAGGATTTCTTACTGTAAGGTGGAGTCAGCCTTTTCAAAATTGATGTAAAAGGTTGATTTCTCTCTGGTTGACATAAAGTGAAACCAGAAGGTGAACTGTGGTGAGATTTTGGTTTATCCAGAGAGCCCTCAGCCTTAACACAGAAGCTCAGAGAAGGAAGCGGAGTTTATGGCAGGACCTTGTGAAACAGACACAGTTTCTGGGGGTAGCACAATGCCCCAATGGGAGAGTGTCTGTGAGAGGAGTCCCCTGGTGGCAATTTGGCATTGTTGTGACAACATCCTGAGGCCTTCAGAAAAGTGGGACCAAGCTTCTAAATTCTCACAAAGCCGGTTCCTCTCCATGACACCCAACCCTCGGGGAAGTGTGGCCCCTGGGGACCAGTTCCCACTCCTGTGTGCCAGTGCCATGGGTCCCTACCTCAAGGCAGCCCTCCCCTAGAGTGGGAACTCGCAAGGCTCTCGCCATGTTGAATGAGGCAGCGGCTCCTGGGCATCCGTGGAGGAATGTCTGTAAGATAGTGTGACTTGGTAGTGGCACTGGGGCCCAGTGAGGACTGTGAAACCTTGGGCAGAGCTCCTGGGGGCCACGTCGTGGTCATGGAGGGGTGGGTGCATGGAGGAGCCTTCCTGCCGTGTGCCGGAGGACACCTGTGCCCTGGACTCTCTCCCCAGCCACTTTTCCAACTCCCAGGCTCCAACAGCGTCTGAGCTCCTTGCCTTCCTGAATTTGGGCTCTCCGGAAAGCACATACTGCTTTCAAGTCTTCACCTCCTTGGCTGCTGTACATTTTTGTTACTTTTGTGAATTTAGAAATTCAGATTCCTACTTGCTCTTGGTTAGAAGTGTTTTGAAATCCTTGGACTTTCTTGATAGTGAAACTGAAAGGGAAGTTTTTTTTTCCTTTACTTAAATATATAGAGCCAAGTTGAAGTCTAATAAAAAATTTAAAATCATTAGATCTGTCTTCTCAAGGCAGTTCCTATGAAGTTATTTGTTTCAGAATAAAGTAAATATCAAATTAGTGTGTTATCAAATATATAAAATAAGCTAATGAGACATTTGTGCTAATCAAATTTCAGTAGCAAAGTATACCAGCATCTTCCCTCCCTCCCTCTAGCCCTTCGCTTCTTTGCTCCCGCCCTTGTTTGTTGGGCTACATTAATGTTGCATTAACTTCTACAATTTCTGGAGCCCATGGAACACTGAAAAAACCTGCTCACATCCCACATTCAGTTTGAGAATCTTAGTGCACGTTCTCCATCTTTTTGCTTATCCATAAGTATTAGATTTTTTTTTTTTTTTTTTTTGACAGGCAGAGTGGATAGTGAGAGAGAGAGAGACAGAGAAAGGTCTTCCTTTTGCCGTTGGTTCACCCTCCAATGGCCGCCATGGCTGGCATGCTGCGGCCAGCGCACCACGCTGATCCGAAGGCAGGAGCCAGGTGCTTCTCCTGGTCTCCCATGGGGTGCAGGGCCCAAGCACTTGGGCCATCCTCCACTGCACTCCCTGGCCACAGCAGAGAGCTGGCCTGGAAGAGGGGCAACCGGGACAGAATCCGGCATCCCGACCGGGACTAGAACGTGGTGTGCCGGCGCCGCTAGGTGGAGGATTAGCCTATTGAGCCGCGGCGCCGGCCTAAGTATTAGATTAATTACAGTGCTCTTTACTAGAGAATATACTTAGCTTACACTTAACTTGTTAACTAAAGTGGACAAGGCTTAGTGCTGCTTCCAGTGACAAGGCTTCTGAAACTGGCCTGGAAATAAAAGCTCAAGCCTGTGTTCCCACCACTTCCTACAAGTCCCTTTCCTCAACCACATGCAGATGGCTTCAGGTCACATCAGGGCTTTCGTTCCTGTAGCTCCCACCTCGTTCTTGGTACAGCATTGGCTGCTTGGTTGGTTCCTGCAGCCAACAGTAGTTTATTCAGTAATTACTACGTAAATATTTTCCCTAAATCATAAACCTTTATTAAGCTATGGGACCTTGGCCACCTGTCTCCAGGCCTCAGTGATGCCCTGAGGGAGGCCTCCTTGCTCTGCTGACATCCGTGGTAGTTGAGTGGGACCCAGACGTGTTCTTCATTCCTCCTCTGGGGGTTCCTAAAAGAACCCCTTTAGACATAGAATTGCCTTTCATTTGGAAATGATGGATTTATTAATTTAGAAAATCCAGGTTACCGAGAAAGGGGGAGAGAGAGAGAGAGAGAGATCTATCGTTTGGTTCACTCCCCAGATGGCTGCAATGCCAGCTCTTGGCCAGGCCAAAGCCAGGAGCCAGGAACTTCATCCAGGTCTCCCACATGGGTGCAGGGCCCAAACACTTGGGCCATCTTCTGCTGCTTTTCTCAGGCCTTTAGCAGGGAGCTGGATGGGAAGTGGGGCAGCTTGGGCACAAACCAAGGCCCACAGCACCAGCCCCAAGTATACAAGCAATTTTGCTGTGTTTGAAAGAGACCTATGCTTTGGAGTAAAACAGGTGAGAGGGAGAACAGTCGCAGTTTTAAACAGCAGGGTTGCCTTTACTAAGCAAAGAGGTGATTAGGATTAAGAGTGAGCCATGTGGAAATCATGTGAAGAACATTTCAAGAAGCATAAGTGACCAATGCAATAAATGTTTCTTAAGGGTATTATGTTACAGGGGTCGACACGGTGGCACAGTGGGTTAAGCTGGTTCAAGTCCTAGCTGCTCTGCTTCTGATCAGCTCCTTGCTAATGCACCTGGGAAAGCAGCAGAAGATGGCCCAAGTGCTTGGACCCCTGCCACCCAGATGGAGTTCCAAGACTTCCTGGCTTTAGCCTGGCCCAGCCCTGGCTCTTGAAGTCATTTAAGGAGCGAACTAATGGGTGGAAGATCTCTCTTTCTATCTTCCTCTTTGTTAGTCTGCCTTTCAAATAAATCATTTTTTAAAAACAGATATATACTATGTAGCTAGTATTGTCAAATGCAAAGATTATTAAGATACCTGTGCATGCCTCAAGGAATTTACAACACTTGGAGGCAAGGAAAACTGAGTTCAGTAAAAAGTCTATGTATGAGGGCATTTCCACATGCTTGTGGAAAAATGGAAGTAATAGGTCAGTTTATTGTGGTGTGAAAAGCTTTTGAAATCCACGCATCATTTTCCTGTAACATGCATTTCCCATGTGGCTATAGCTTCTGGCCTATAGTGCGAAAGCGAAGTTCTTGTGCCTGGAGCAGTCAGGAAGGGGAGGGGAAGCAGTGGGCGAGGCTAAAGCATGTAAGGAGGATAGTTATTGGGCCATGGCCCAGGCAAGAGACCACTGAGGACCTAGATCAGAAGAGTAGCCGAGTGATTGGAGAGGAAGTGGGATGTGATGGTGACTTGCTAGGATTTAAGAGCCAATTCGG